TAAAATGCGACAAATTGAAAAAAGTTGACTGATGTAAACAAACGCCAGGCAGACACTAATGATTGGATGGCACTAAAACCTGACAGATGTGCGTCTTAAGGTCGTACCAACATAAGAAAAAAAAATAAACCGGTTCCCGCATGCGCGGTACGTTTAAATAAAAAATTCCCGGTACTTTCTGATCATAGGGTATTATACATAAGTACTATAAGAAACTATATGGTCCTATTATTATAGTAAAAGCGTTTACATAGGAAGCTCTTCTTTATTTCTTTCCTTGGTTTTATAATATGAGATACTGTCTCATATAAGAAAACCCTCTTGTCTCATATTAGTAACTCTTTTTTTGAAAAGGCAAAATCGGCACTTCTGATAAAATATATTACAAAGTATAGCTGTTATTGATTATTAACTTTTGGAAGTAATACCTAAATGTATTTCCCATAAGTTTTACATAAAAACGGGAATTACGGTTACAAATTAAATAAATTACAAGTCTTTAAAAAAAGGTGTCTCATATTAAGCACCTTTACCCTACATTGTGTTCATTTGAATCTTATTTACTTTTGCGAGAATTATATTAAATATGTTTATGAGAATTATGATAATTTTATCACTTATTATTAAACTTATTATTTTATGTGGGTGTATTCTTTACCTTATAGAAGCACGTGGCGGCGGGATGAGAAGAGGCGACAAGCAACGACTGGCCTGTCTTGAAGTGCCTTGAACGGCATTTATTGGCGAACACGCGCAAGTGGAACTTACGCCCGTTGCCACTGACGACAAAGAGGTTTGCGAAGGCGACGCATTTCCACTATGCAGGCTGCCCGAGTAACTGGCAGGACTTCCACAACGTGCATCCAAGGACGCCGCCCTAGCTGGTGAAGGGGACCTGTGGGAAGTTCCGAAACTGCACATCAATGTACGAGAATGAAGAGAAAGAAATTCAAGAGCACATTATTGAATGTAAGGTCGCATTATTTTCCCATTTTAAGACAATTTTCATTTATATAAAAAAATACGTAAATAAATCTTCATTTATATATAAAAGAATTGTGAAATAAGAAAGTATACGTAAATAAAGTTGTCTTAGGATAAACGAACTGATGTTGTATTCAATTTAATATATTATTATCGCACAATATGCAGGCACGTGTAATTAATAATACGCGACAGTAAAACTGACACAATTGCTCGATTACATTTTAGGTAATGCAAACCTCGAGTGGCAAATTCTATGGCAAATTTTCGCTCTCCGATGCAATTATTTCAACGTAGTAACATGTGTGTACATTTAATTTGCCCGGATACATATAGAAGTGAGAAATTATGGAAAGGAACAATCAACTCCAAAAAGGTCACAGATTTCACGAGCAAAAATACATATAACAAATCCAGAACTTCACTTGTTCTGTACAACGAAGCTTTTGCAATTAAGAGAATAAACGACTGCTGTGCTATCTAAATAAACCGAGAGAGAGAGCTTTCAATGTAGGCCAACCGGCACTATTATAAATACACCTATCACTACGTGTGACATCAATCGTAAATTAATTTCTTGGATTGCGTGAGCAATATTTTTCACCGTATTTGCGTGACCGCTCTCAAAAATTTCATGCAATATCGTTCGAGATTGCCCAAATTAAAAAGAAAAATCACAATTTTTTTGCGCTGTCTAAAATAAAATTGAGCAATTACTTCAGTTTACATCAGTTTTACTCTTATATATTAAGGGGACTAGTTTGAAATCTTCAAAAAATCGATTTTTTGATTTTTACGTAATCGTTTAGTACAATTCTTTAAGAACATTTTTGCGCAAAAAGAACCTCGATATTCGCAAAATTGAGTTCAGGAGAGCGAAAAACGTGAAGCGGCGCGCGATCATGTAGTGTAAGAAATGTAGATACTATTTATTTAAAACAAACTGATAAACAGTAATAATGGTTCGAAAACTTAGAAATAATAATATCGGAAACAAAGGTTATAGGAGGTCATTGTTAAGAAATATAAGAGTAACAACAAAAAAGACGAGAACAGTCGGTCGGTCGGTAGTAGAAGCAGTCGGTCGTTTTCAAAACAGCATTTTCCGCTCGTTTTGCCACGATTACTCAAGAATGGCTAAAGATATCGACTTGATTTTTTTTTTTAATTAAAGATAAAAATATACTGCTGAACCGAAGTTTGCATATAAAAATAAATTTTTTAATACCATTTTAACCGTTTTTACCGTTTTAACAACAAATAACTGAAATTTTTAGACATTTTTGGTTTTTTGGTTGGTTGCTATTTTTTAATTTAACAATATCTCACTCAATTATTAATATTTTTTGAACTTCTATGTATTCGCTTATTGTATTCCTAAAAGTATGTTATAAAAACTAAAAAAAAAAATAAAACAATAGTATTCTTATCTTGTGTATGTTTATTTGTTCGTCCACAATCGTCATTCGAATTTCACTCAATTTTCGAAAAATGAAACCGTTCTAGTCTCCTTAATTAATTGATGTCTACATATGTTATGTGATAATAACATAATAACATATTAAATTGAACTCAACGTTAATTTTTCTGATCTTAAAGACAATTTTAACAAGTTTCTCAACTTTCAAAATCGATTCTCTTAAGGATTCCTCCCCTAAAGGAAATTCACTCGAGGATTTCCCTCTTTTATATCTTTTTTTCCAAATAGATTTACCTTCCTCTCGAAGAGTATATCGTAATTTCTTGCCTGTTTATCCATGTGTATATTACATAAGGGCACAATGAATATATATATGCGTCACATTTTTTGCCATCAACCTTGAGTTCCTGCTGGGTGGATACGAGAAGGCGGCGTGTAAAGGGTCGTGTCGAGCATGATGCCGTCCATCCGGACCGAATGCCCTGATCTGGGGCGATGATCCGCGATGACTCGAGGAGCAAGATGTACCCTCCAGCGAGCTCTGCGAGCTGATGGACGAGTTTCTCGCCAATGTTCGACCGCCGCCTGGGCAACTGCGGCTTTGATGAGGTAAGCCTCCAAGCGGAAAACGAATTACACGTGAAATTAAATGGGATGAAAAATTATCATAGTAATAACGGCCGGATAGACTTTTCGAGAGAGTCTTTTTCAGTCACGTCCAACGATAGTTCGTAAATCTCCTCGTAATCCAATTCCGAGGAGAGGAACGACGAGTGCTGACACAAGTAAATATTTCAAAAAAGTCCGTTGTATAATCTAGTAACAAATGATGCTATTTCAAAAATAATAGATAGTCATAAGAGAGAATTTTAGATGCGATCTTTGAATTTAGATTGTTTGTATTTGAATTCGCAGAAACTGAACTAATGTATACATATATATCTATGGAGCATTTCGATGAGACATTAATTAAAATTAACTAAATATAATTTTCCAGGAAGAGACATTAAAGGTAGACAGGAAATCTATCTTTATTTCTCTCTCTCTCTCTCTCCCTCTTTCTCCTTTCCACACGTATACTTAAATTATATATAACTTTGATTAGCATTTGCGAGAACGCGGAATTAATATAATTTATGGTTACCCGATTCAGATGTCAAGGGTTGCACAGCATGCTGCTCCTTTGCAATATTGAATTCCTGAAACAGAAAATCAAAGCATAGAATTCACCTTAATAATCTCAATGCAGTGCATGCTGGGTTTAACGGATCCGAGCGCGCTACATGCTAATAAATACTTGTATAGATTTTTAATTAAGCGTACAGCAACGTGCTCGTGTATCTCTCGCTACAAAAAGGAAAAAAGTGGTAACGCGCGTTGGAGAAATTTCTGACACATTTTCTACGAATGGAAAATTCTGTTGAAATTATTTTCGCAGAATATCCACGCGAGTGGCACGCTTATATATATTGCAGATGCATTGCCGTAAATCGTTGAGTAAATACTCGATTTTTTTCCATATTCGTTCACCATCGTATTTATTATATTGAAAGCGTTGTCATCGTATTTATTACATTGAAGAAACACCAAACTGTAATTCAACTGTAATTCAAGCGTATTGGGAATGCAATATGGCATTGCTTAATAAAAATGCTGGAACCAGAAGGAGAAGTTTGCAAGGAAGAAAAAGTTTGATAAAAAGATATGGAGAAAACATAGCGAAAATATGGAAAATTAATTCCTTCTCAAGATATCTCCATTTCGCGAAATTATCTTTCAGTTGTGTACTCGTCAAACTGCATGAGGGAAATATTTTTTAATTTTCTCGTTATAATACGCCGTATAATAAATATATGCTTTGGAAATCATGATGTTGTTATAACCTTATATAGCTGAAAAAAAGTCAAGTTAAATTCTATGTTCGGTTTGAATCAGTCTTGTCAACTTTTTCGTACTCCTTATCAATAAATCTGATCGCCGACATAAAATATTTCACTTTTTACTTTTAACATGCACACTGAGAGAAAGAATATCTGAGAAGTTAGAAATATTCATTAGATAAGTACTGATGACACATTTACTTAAATCCAAGTTCTTTTATTGAAGTAGAATAAATAAATAATTGCTTTCGTGAAAAGCTAAAATTTCAAGAAAACGTACATCTTATTCTACGAAAAATATTTAATGTTCATATAAGTAAATATGTTATCGAATAAGTATATTCTTGATTTCATAGATATTTTTTCTCTCAGTATGTACGAATAGAAGATTACATTTTACAATATACAGATCGGTTAAAGGCACAGCGTTTGGTTGACGCGAAAGACGAGATTAATTGCGGAAAATTGAGATTAATCAAGTCGACGAGAGGTGTCCTCTGTTCCTTTCATAACCTCGCCTCGTAGATATAATTTGCAGTCGCGGATTGCGCGTTTGGTAACCGAACGGCGATCCCGCGGCGCCAATATTTACTTTCGAGGCACGTGATACGTATGCGCCGGCCAAGTTACATATTAATTAACGCTTCGCCGACGCTCTCGGGCATACATGTGCGCCCAGTTACATCGACGTGCACTACACGCTCTCGTGTTGCGTACCGATATGTAATGTTAATTAGACCTCGTCTCGCCCCGCGCTTAATTTCGCCCGCCTTGGCCTTTTGACACCGCGAGCAAGCAGAGTCATGTCGATATTTTCCCGTAGGCATTCGTGCGCTCATTACACGCTGCCAGCCGCTTTCGTGCCAGTCGTGTGACTAACAAAAGCGGAGGTGGTGATGCGTTCAAACAATTTAGGCGATCCTAAATCCCAACTTCCTAAAATCCAACGTTCCAACTTGCGATCCTTGTCGCGTCACTCTGCTTGTCGGCGGAGTTAATGATTTAATACGTTCGCTACCACGGTCTTTGGAGGACTCCTCTCTCTTCGCAGAGTCCATCTATTAGGTTGGTAGGAAAATAATGTCGGTTTTATATATTATTTGACTTTGCTACTTGTTTTTGGAATAAATATTTCTTTTAATATATTCATTTTATATACCATTTTAAAGCGCAGATTTCGTTATATTTCTCTGCTATTGGTTTTATTTTTACTATTATTTTATGTCCATTATTATTTGTAGAATTCATGATGGAAAAGAAGCAATTGCGAGCGATATTCTTGTACGAGTCCAAACTAGGCCATAAAGTAGCAGAGGCGACTCGTAACATCAACAGCGCATTCGGCCAGGGAACCGCAAACGAACGTATGAGAAAACGTTGGTTTCAAAAATTTCGGAATGGCGATGAGAGCCTTGAAGATGAAGAAGGTCGCGGACGTTCATCGGCAGTTGACAACGACGAATTGAAGGTGTTGGTCGAGGCAGATCCGCGAACAAAGATTCGAGAGCTTGCTATAAAGTCACCCAACAGTTCTGGACCAACTCAAGCAACTTTGAAAATCAAAAAAGCTCGACAAATAGATGCCGCATGAATTGAATGAAAATAAAAAAAATCGTTGTTATGAAGTGTGCTCTGCGCTTCTTTTGCGCAACAACAACGATCCATTTCTCGATCGCATTGTGATATGTGATGAAAATACGATAACAGGCGGCGCTCAGCACAATAGTTGAATCGCAGCGAAGCTCCACAACACTTCCCAAAGCCGAAACTGCACCAGAAGAAGACCATAGTGACGGTTTGATGGTCATCAGCCGGTCTGATCCACTACAACTTTCTGAATCCAGACGAAATTATCACGGCAGAAAAGTATTGTCAACAAATCGACGAAATGCACTGCAAACTGCAACACCTACGCCCGTCATTGGTCAATAGAAAAGGTCCTATTCTTTTTCACGACAATGCCCGGCCACACGCCGCACAACCGGCGCCGCAGAAACTGAATGAATTAGGCTACGAAACTCTGTCTCACACACACACACACACACACACACACACACACACACACACACACTCACTCACTCACTCACTCACTCACTCACTCACTCACTCACACTCACACACACACACACTCACACACACACACACGCGCGCGCGCGCGCGCACACACACACGCACACACACACGCGCACACACACACACGCACACACACACACACACACACACACACACACCCACTCACTCACTCCCTCACTCACTCACTCACTCACTCACTCACTCACACTCACACACACACACTCACACACACACACACGCGCGCGCGCGCGCGCACACACACACGCACACACACACGCGCACACACACACACGCACACACACACACGCACACACACACGCACACACACCATACTCGCCAGCCTCTCGCCAACCAATTACCACTTTTTTAAGCACTCGACCACTTCCTACAAGAGAAAGTCTTCAACAACCACGGTGTTGTTGAAAATGCCTTCCGAGAATTTATCGATTCCAGGACGTTGGAATTATACGTTACCGGAATAAATAAACTTGTTTCTCGTTGGCAAAAAAGTGTTGATTGTAATTATTCTTATTTCGATTAATACACTTTATTCTGAACTGAGATATATGCGTTTAAAGTTAAAAGTTAAAAACCGACATTATTTTCCTACCGACCTAATAGTATTTTATTATTTTTGTATGTAATTTTGTAAGACACAACTTGTTCGATAATGTGGACACAAGAAAAGAAGTTTACATATGACGTTAGTAGCCAACATGTTAATTTCAAACCAGACTAGTTTCGCAGTTTTATATTGAAAAAAAGCGGTTGGATCAACAAAATCGGCCACCGATCCTATCAAAAATATATTATATCGTATTCAACAAAGTACGCACGTTAGCACAACAATAAGTTGCGTTGATATTACTATATCAATGCAAATATAATGATATCAACGCAATTTATTGTTGCGCTAACACGTGTGTTGTTAATCCTAGGTATACACACTGGGGTCACTGAGACCCCAGGCAAAGTTTGAAACTTTAGTATTAATAGAGAGAATAAGTGGATATAACTGCTATGAATAAGGAGGATATAACTGCTGTGTAAAAAAAATTTTAAGTCTCCTCTGTAAATAACAACTATCGGAGCAATCAATTGTCTGTCGGTTTTGTGGTAATTTACACGTAAAGTAAGTCCGGGGTCTCCCAGACCTCAGTGTGTACTTCGTGCAACTTTTTTTGCAAGTATATTTTGTAATTAATTTTATTCGAGTTCATAGTGTAAATATATATTCTAAAAAATGTTAGATTAAATAAGTAATGTAAAAAAAAAGAACTAATTTTTATTGGGAGACAGAAACACACGGACTAAACGCCCAAAATAATATTGCCTTGTTGGGTGAATGTTATTTGCTGCTTTTAAATTATTCACGTTTTTTTTTTTCTTTTTGTTTCTGTCTCTATTTCTGTTGTATGCATTACAAGTTATTGAGTTTGTATTTTTTAACAAAAATACTTTTATACCTGTCTGCAAAACCAGAAAATAGAAATATGAAAAATTATCAATCTTGGAGCTTTGTAATTTTCATGATAATATTCCAATATTTAAGCGACGATTTTTTTTCTTTGTACCTTGAAATATTCTCTTTCAAAATTTGAAAACTTTTTTTGATTATCTCTATTACCAAAAAAGTAATGCATTTTTCAAACTATTACGTTACAAAATAACGTTTCCTTTGCATTTATGAGTAATTCTAATGTTTCAACATGTCTTTATTATGTGATGCTTATTGTGATTTAATTCTAATTCTTAATAAATATATGTGTTTATCAGTCTATTAACAATCGGATAAAAAGTCAAAATACGGTGATTTTTACCGGAGTTACGGTAAAAAAAGTAGCTGGGGTTCTTCAGTGTAGCATCTACGTATGCGAAAAATAAGTGTGTATACCTAGGATTAAATAGATACAATATTTCTTTGATGGCCGGTGACTGCCGATTTTATTGATCCAACTGCTTATTTTCTCAAAAACATCCGTCTCGCATCGTTTTGCGCGAGAAGACGCAACAAGCGCGTTCGACCGGATAAATCTATGTGGGACCCGAGAGTTGTCTCCACCTCAAATGGAAATACGGTGCTTTACGTTAAAAAAAAAGAAAAAAAACGGGATCGCATTTTTCGCAGAGTGATTTCGCGCAGTCCTCTCAGAGACATGTAATCCCTGCTCGACAGGTTTTAACTGTTCTCTCTCCCATGGCCCTTCGGGCGATAATAGCTCGCTTTGAGACGAAGAGCCCTTCGTAAATTAGCCGGGAGAAGCTACATAATGCGCGACGCAGTATGAAGCAACAGACGAAGCCACTTGCGGTCGACGGACAAGTGTCTGAAATGTGAAGCCTCGGCAGAAAAAGAGTCGAAGACGCCAATGCCGAGTTTCCACGTTGTGACGAAAGGGTAGATGGCAGTTAGGGGCGAGGTCGCTGGAAGCTGCCTTTCACGGGTCGATACTTGGAGCAGCGCAAGCAGAATCCACGGTTCCGCCCATCGAGCCAAAACACCAAAATCTCCGCTCCGTGCTATTTTTCACTCTGTCACTGTATGTGAAATCGTGAGAATCGTGCACGTCTCTCGCGACTTCAGAATTGTAATAACGATCTGAGACCAGACGCGATCGGTGGAACATCTTGTGCTGCGAGTTCGACACACACAGGGTGTTCCACAGCCTGCATGTAGCCTGCTGCTGCTTATGCCGAGCGTTTGATCGGCCGGCGTGTTTACACGCCGTGCTGATGTCGCTGTGCAAATTTATGCGCCGCAAAAATTTTTGTGTTAAATTCAACACTGATAAAGTTGGGCGAATACCAATAAAGTATTTATTTAAATTAAAATTCTTGTATTTCAATAGAATGAACAATTCCTTTTATGAAAAGCTAAGGACTTTTAAGAAAATTTATATTTTCTTATTTGAAAGGTATCTCTTATATGAGTATAAATAAATATGTTATTAGCACCCGCTAGCTAATAAATATTTTTTATAGCTGAGGCAGCTATTTTTCATAATTCTTAAATGAATATTAACATAGAGAATCATAAAATTTAAAAATACAAAAATTTTTGTGTTAAATTCAACACTGATAAAGTTGGGCGGATACCAATAAAGTATTTATTTAAATTAAAATTCTTGTATTTCAATAGAATGAACAATTCCTTTTATGAAAAGCTAAGGACTTTTAAGAAAATTTATATTTTCTTATTTGAAAGGTATCTCTTATATGAGTATAAATAAATATGTTATTAGCACCCGCTAGCTAATAAATATTTTTTATAGCTGAGGCAGCTATTTTTCATAATTCTTAAATGAATATTAACATAGAGAATCATAAAATTTAAAAATACAAAAATTTTTGTGTTAAATTCAACACTGATAAAGTTGGGCGGATACCAATAAAGTATTTATTTAAATTAAAATTCTTGTATTTCAATAGAATGAACAATTCCTTTTATGAAAAGCTAAGGACTTTTAAGAAAATTTATATTTTCTTATTTGAAAGGTATCTCTTATATGAGTATAAATAAATATGTTATTAGCACCCGCTAGCTAATAAATATTTTTTATAGCTGAGGCAGCTATTTTTCATAATTCTTAAATGAATATTAACATAGAGAATCATAAAATTTAAAAATACAAAAATTTTTGTGTTAAATTCAACACTGATAAAGTTGGGCGGATACCAATAAAGTATTTATTTAAATTAAAATTCTTGTATTTCAATAGAATGAACAATTCCTTTTATGAAAAGCTAAGGACTTTTAAGAAAATTTATATTTTCTTATTTGAAAGGTATCTCTTATATGAGTATAAATAAATATGTTATTAGCACCCGCTAGCTAATAAATATTTTTTATAGCTGAGGCAGCTATTTTTCATAATTCTTAAATGAATATTAACATAGAGAATCATAAAATTTAAAAATACAAAAATTTTTGTGTTAAATTCAACACTGATAAAGTTGGGCGGATACCAATAAAGTATTTATTTAAATTAAAATTCTTGTATTTCAATAGAATGAACAATTCCTTTTATGAAAAGCTAAGGACTTTTAAGAAAATTTATATTTTCTTATTTGAAAGGTATCTCTTATATGAGTATAAATAAATATGTTATTAGCACCCGCTAGCTAATAAATATTTTTTATAGCTGAGGCAGCTATTTTTCATAATTCTTAAATGAATATTAACATAGAGAATCATAAAATTTAAAAATACAAAAATTTTTGTGTTAAATTCAACACTGATAAAGTTGGGCGGATACCAATAAAGTATTTATTTAAATTAAAATTCTTGTATTTCAATAGAATGAACAATTCCTTTTATGAAAAGCTAAGGACTTTTAAGAAAATTTATATTTTCTTATTTGAAAGGTATCTCTTATATGAGTATAAATAAATATGTTATTAGCACCCGCTAGCTAATAAATATTTTTTATAGCTGAGGCAGCTATTTTTCATAATTCTTAAATGAATATTAACATAGAGAATCATAAAATTTAAAAATACAAAAATTTTTGTGTTAAATTCAACACTGATAAAGTTGGGCGGATACCAATAAAGTATTTATTTAAATTAAAATTCTTGTATTTCAATAGAATGAACAATTCCTTTTATGAAAAGCTAAGGACTTTTAAGAAAATTTATATTTTCTTATTTGAAAGGTATCTCTTATATGAGTATAAATAAATATGTTATTAGCACCCGCTAGCTAATAAATATTTTTTATAGCTGAGGCAGCTATTTTTCATAATTCTTAAATGAATATTAACATAGAGAATCATAAAATTTAAAAATACAAAAATTTTTGTGTTAAATTCAACACTGATAAAGTTGGGCGGATACCAATAAAGTATTTATTTAAATTAAAATTCTTGTATTTCAATAGAATGAACAATTCCTTTTATGAAAAGCTAAGGACTTTTAAGAAAATTTATATTTT